ACGGCGCAGGATTGTTAGCTGAGCAGGGAAGACGATGGAGGCGTAAGGCAGTGTGCGAGGCAGTGTGTGACACAGTGATGGCCCGTGCGCTATCGATCACGGCTGTCCCTTTTAGCCAATCCATCGATTTCACCTCTTCCTTCCTCTCCACGACCATGGCCAACGTATTCGTGCGTATTCATCGTCCTCCGCAATGAGCGATGAGCGCTGATCTGGTGTCCATCGCGATAGTTCGACATCTCCATCGGCGGGGCACCCGCTCAGCGCGTCGTCTTCAAGCTGTACGACGAAGTCGTGCCCAAGACGACGGACAACTTCCGCAAGCTCGCCCAAGGCCTCGACATCAACGGCCAGCCCACGACCCAGGGCCACACCTACGCCGGGTCCAAGTTCCATCGCATCATCCCCCAGTTCATGCTCCAGGGCGGCGACTTTACTCGCCACAACGGCACTGGCGGTGTCTCCATCTACGGCGAGAAGTTCAAGGGTACGTCGTGGTCGATTGAGCTGTGGCCGCCCTGACTCTTGTAGACGAGAACTTCCAGCTGAAGCACACCAAGCCCTTCCTCCTCTCGATGGCCAACGCCGGCGCCAACACCAACGGCTCCCAGTTCTTTATCACCACCGTCGTCACCTCCTGGCTCGATGGCAAGCACGTCGTATTCGGTATGTCGTCATCGTCGTCATGCATTTCCCCATTTGATGTGACCCTCCCCAGGTGAGGTCGTCGAAGGCACCGACGTCGTCAAGAAGGTCGAGGCCGTCGGCTCCGCGGACGGCAAGCCCTCCAAGCCTGTCACCATCGTCGCCTCCGGCATCGTCGAGTGAGCGTTCTGCGTGTAACGAGAAAAGAGAGAAGTAAATAAAACAATAAAACGAACCTTGTAGTCTTGTCGGTGTCGAGGATATGTACTTATGCATGTCGTCGCCTCCGACTCTTGCGATCTCCGAGTCTTGCCTTAGTGCAAGAACGATCTGTACTAACATCAGCCCTTTCAGGTAATTAGCAACGTGCGTGCGGCCCGGCCGGGCGAGATATGCCGGAGTTGGCCTCGGCGGACAAGCGCTTCTTTGCGTCTTTGTCTCGCACTCCTTGCTCTGGACCACGATTTCGCCAGTCGTTTATTTCCAACTCATCTACCTGCTTGCCTGCGTCAATCTCGACTCCTCAATACCCATTGCATGCGCAATGTCAAGAATCCGAGTCGAGAATCGAGAATCAAGATAAGTCGTTCGTGTGGCCGCCCCGCCGGCGCGTATTCACGTACTCCAGCAGCCAGCAACCCCAACGACGGACTCAGAGCCTGCTGTCTGCCGTATACCACCATCATGCATCCATCTAGCACCACCCTTACTCAACCCCGCTGCAAATAAGTATCGCGTAGTAGTCACCTCAGCTCATCCTGATCTTCCACAAGTTCTACCTGGCTGACTGGCTGACTGTACCGGTGAAGGAAAGGAGTCGCCGGAGCCCTACGTCCACTGGCATGCCATTTCGGTCTTTCGCATTCCTCTCATTCGCACGTGGCCGTCTATGAGTATGAGGCGAGTCACGTCACGATCCCCTTTGATTTGAAACCACGATGGCGACTGTTTTTCGCAAAAGACTGGGGTGCGTACTGTCGCAATTGGACTCATATTGGGAAATGTGCACATTTTAGGAAGTTCGCGCAATGGAAGCACTGGCAACCGGCAATATTTCAGGTTTCTTCCCGGATTCCGGTCATCTTTCGAAGCTCTTTCAAGTGCTTCGAGCTCGGGTGCCGGTGGTGCAAGCCATATGATACTTATGCAGCCGCGGCGTAACGGTAATTTGCTCGAACACCATTCTTGCGTCTTAGTACTCGCGTTTCAAGTTGCACGTTGAAACGTTGCGCACATCTTGAAAAAATTCGGACATCGGCGCCTACCTGAGCTGGGCAGGCACACAACTGCACACCGTACCTGACATCGGCATCGGCGGGCGCGGATGCGCGGATTCATGACAAGAGATCTCATCAGTTGAGCCTCTAACCGGCGGAAATTGCGAAATAGCATGCGGTTCTGGGTGGACGTCAATATGCATCCGTCCTGCAAGCTTGACCTTTTCGCGTCGTTCTCGCGGCTCCGAGTCCGTGCAAGGTCATTTGGCCAACACTCTTTGGAGGTATGAGCTAGCTTAAAGTTCCTTTAGCCAGGTCTTTGATCTTTCCCAATTAGCGTTCACCCGCGCGGAGCCGAAACTGTTCGCAAGGAACCCCGCACTGGGGCCAGCCTTCCCCGCATTTTTCGCCATTGGAGCGTGATAATTCGCGGTTTTTGACAGAATCACCGGTTCAACAACGCAGCATCTCTACACGTCCTCGTGAGTCCTTTCTCTGATGGCCACCCTGCGGAGCGCACAAGCGCTGTTTCACCGTCGCATGACCTTCGGCTGCATTCTTGTTGTAACCGCGAAAAGGTATAAAAGCATGCGGTTGCGCTTGAAATTTCTCCAGCCGTGTTCCCCGACTCGTCTGTTCCACTCACTCTCTTGCAATGCTCTTCGCTCGTCTCCTCACCGTTGTGTCTGTTGCCGCCGTCAGCCTTGCGCTCGTTGCCAAGCGGGACGCCGCGACCGTCGAAGCCGACATCGCGACGATTACCACCAAGGTCACAACGCTCGACAACGCCATCGAGGCGTTCCCCCTGACTGGCGGTTCCCTCGTTAACGCTCTGGTGCGTTTTCCATCGTTGCAATTTGTTATATTTCCGCGTTTCTCACTGGCTTTGGGTTGCAGGCAATCCACAGCGACGCGACGAGCCTGATCACCACGCTCAACACTGCGACGAGCGACGCCACCAACGCCGGCGCGTTCTCGGAAGACGACGGGGCCAGCATCCTCGCGTCCGTCGAGGCCATCGAGCCCATCATCCTCGATGCGCTCCAGGACATCGTCGTCAAGAAGCCTGCATTCGCGGCTCTCCCCATCGGCGGTCTCCCTGCCCTCATCTACGTCGACCTCCAGAACCTCCAGACCGCTACCATCGCTTTCGCCAACGCTCTCATCGCCGACTCCCCCGCCGACCTCGTCGACGAGGCTACCACCCTCCGCGATAACATCAACGAGGCTTTTGGCCCGGCCATCGCTGCCTACGCGCCTTAGTTGTATAGAGAGCAATGTAATTGGTTGTTAATAGGAATGAATTCTACACAACTCAGTCCTTCTTGATCGCCTGCTTGAGCAAATCCACCGCTAGCCTCGCTGACCCCCACGAACCTTGGTAGCCTGCACCTCCATGTCTGCCGATCAAAACTCAGATTTCTCTTCTTTCAGCGAAACTGGAAGAACTCACCCATAGTTGTGGACCACAGGCACGGTGTGGCCGGCGATTTCTGTACCAGGCTCAGCTCAGTTTCCTTCTGCATAGTACTCGACAGCAACAACGCACCTAAGATAGTCGTCTCAACCCGGATACCACCCTTCCGAGTGGGTCTCAGCCCAACACATTCCTCGATGACCTCGATATCGCTCGTGTCGACGTCGACACCCGCCTCGGCCTTCTCGCGCCGCTTTTCTGGAGACACGAGCTCAGGACAGACCTGCAGCCCACGTTCCTTGATGAGCTGGACGGTCTCTGGGCGTGATCTCGGATGCCTAGTATAGTATAGTAGCCAATTCGAATTCTCGCGAAAGACTCGGAGAGAACAAGCAAAATTTAAACGCACCAGTCGTTCGGTTGGAAGGTTCCGCCGAGGATGACTTGTCCGCTTCTGCGCGGGATGATGTACGGCATGTGCTCGTCGGCGGCCATGTAGGCCAGCCCCGCTCGCAGCCACGGTGCATGTACGATGAGCACTTCCCCGCGGGTGGGATACATGGCGGTGTCTGGAGGTGACGTTTGTCCGAAAAAAAATGTTTTACAGTGTGAACGCACCGAGAACGTCACCCAGCGACAGAGAACCCAGACCAGTGCAGTTGATAATCGCGGCAGGCGCAGGAGTCTGGGCGGGCGGTTGATTGCCAGACGGAACTGGCATTAGGTTGAGGTCCTCGTGTGGGCCGAGGAGCGCAGACAGGGAGGGGATCTTGGTGCGGAACGCCTTCCCGCCCGCAGCGACGAACTTGTCGAAGAGGTATCGAAGATAATGCGGAACGTCGATGTGGATCTGTAGATTTCTTTTTGAGGACTCTACGCGCGTAGGTGAGACAAAGGGAGTGAAAAAAAAAACTAACTGTGGAGAACTCGACTCCGTATAATATTTTTTCGATGGTGGCTGGAGGGTATTCACTCGAGTCCAAGACGCGAAACTTGTCGGGATATCGCGAGGCGAAGTTGTCGATCGTTGCTTGGACGTCGGGATTAAGCTGAAGACAACGAAGGGTTGAGAGGGTACCGAACTTAGTAAGTAGGGAGACGTACGACTTCGGTGTAAAATCGATGCGTGCGCTCCATGAGCGGCGCGTCCGGGTCGGCTGCTAGCATGTCCTTGAAGACGGCGTAGGTTTCCATCTCCAACGCTGAGGACAGATCAGGGGGTCCGATTCTTTCATTACTAATAAGAGTACGAAGGAGAACGCACTAGAGGTGAATACCCCCGAGCCCTCGCTCGTATGTATCGCCGCAGCCCAGCAGGACGTGTACTTGATCGTCTTGTCGTCGGTGGGGAACACTTCCGCGAAAATGGCTACGTCGAAGAGACCCGTTTCGAGGACGCGCAGGGCGGTGGAAAGGCCGACGACGCCTGTACATGTGCCGCGGCGGTTAGCAACCTTCAAGTTGTTGACGGGTAGAGACAGACAGACCAGCTCCGATAACATAAACGACGGGTTTCTCGACCATTTTTTGAGCGGGAGGTGGATACTGGATAGAGATGCGAGTATTTAAATGGGGATCGTTATGCACTGCGGGCCTGCGGCGCAGTGTTTCATGGGAGGCTGGAGAAGAAGCGTGAGACGCGAATAAAAATTTTGATCCTGTTGTTCCGGGAACACAAGTGCACCAGGTGTCCTCATTACGAGTTTCGATCCTGCCGGGATGCTTTGCTGGGGTAAAGGTAACCTGGGTCGGCCCCGTTGGAAGATGAAGAAGGTTTTCGACCCGCCGGGGGTTCGATTCCCTCACAAAGCTCTGTCCCGTGAGGGTTATCTGTTTTTCTTGTTTTTTTGCGCTGGTTTTTGGTCTTGTGTTTGTTTTGTTCCATCGCCAGTTCCTTTCCTTTCTTGACAGCTGACTGCAAATCGTGGGCCATCCCATTTTTCTCTCTCATCACCGGAATGATCCTTTTCCCATTCAAAGCTCCACTCGGAGAGCTTCTAGACGCCGCCATCGACAGCTTCGCCATATAATCCTGACTGGAGAGATTTTTTTCGATGGCCTACGATTTTGCAGTCAGCTGGAAGTTGAACGATTCAAATCCTTCGACCGCTGTCATTGACAAGGATCACGCAAACTGATATAGGATCTCCACTTCAGATTGATCAAAATGATCTTCCTTGTCAGTCCACGTTCTTCTCGACGTATACGTAGCGTGGGGCTTGACTTGGAGGCTTGGGGGTTGGACATATAATGTCGCTGTCGACGTCCCTCCGAGCTTAAAGCCCCCCGAAGGCGTCTCGAAGCCCAACGAGCTCCAAGTGCATTCCAAGCTGCACCAACCAGCCAACTAACTCAGGGCTGAAATGATGAAACTCATATGGGCAGCGAGCCAATCATTTCACTGCCTATGCCCCATGCGACCCCGAGAGTGCAACACCTTCCTTGTCTTCTCCCATCACCCTGGCTTTGAGCCCGCTCTGCGATGTCCGCAGAGGCAGACGGCGCTCACTTCGACCTCGCGAAGATCCTGCTGGATTTGTGCGTCCTTTCGGTTCCTAGGCCAGCTATTCTTACGTTTGCAAGACGACTACACGACTATCTGGCGCTGCCTGGACTGAGTGAGTGTTGTAGCAGCGTCCGTTATCAAGACCCCCTGACCCCATGCAGCCCTCTTATTCTGGGACCATATCCTCACGTTTGGTGAGCTTCACAGTCGTCCTTCCCTTATGCGCGACTGACCAGGTTTCCTCGCAGGCGATGAAGTGCGCTTTCTCTGGCGTCGACAACGAACTCTTAGCACCTACTGCTTCCTCCTCAATCGTTACACCGCGCTCTTTGGCGACATTGCCATTCTGTACTTTACGTTTTATTCGATACCCGCCGAGGTGAGCGGGGAATACCCAGACGGGCATTGTACGGGACTCACGTATCGCAGGCATGCAAGAGCGTCAACCTCTTCCGCCAACTGCTCCTCATCCTGAACCAGACGCTCATCTGCTGTGCGTGTGTCCCTTCTGCCGCCTTGCGTCCGTACTAACCCCATACACAGTTCTCCTCACCGTCCGGATCTATGCGCTGTACGGGCGGGGCTCAAAGCTGTGGATGTACCTCACTGGTGCGGCCTGCTGTCTCTTGGCGCTTTCTTTGGTGCGTTACGTCGATTCGTTTCTGCACGCAACTTATTGAGTAAACGGATATAGTGGGCGATTAGTGGTCGGCGGAGTTACCCTCTGGTCGGTGTCGGCGGCTGTCATCTGGGGAACTCACAGGATACGTGCGTCCCCGCCTTGTCTCCTCTGCTAGTATTGATTCCTTGTAGTGGCATTCGTGCGTTGTGCTGCCCTCCCTCCATCGTCCCTCCCTCACAACCGTGTTACAGATCTCGCGGTACCCTGGGAGGCCCTCTTCCTGTACGACTGTCTCATCGTGGTCGCGCTTTTCTGGAAGTCGTTCTCGGCGACGAGGACGAGTGGGAAGCGGGATACGACGTTGTTGGGGCTGTTAATTCGCGATGGTGCGCTGTGCCCTGCCCTCCCTGTGTCGCCGAAAGCTGACGGTAGCCAGGCTCGGTCTACTTTGTAGCCATGGCCTCGGCCAACCTCGCGAATATACTCACATTCTACGTGCGTCTTTCCTTCAGCTTCCCTCGCCTCCCACTCACATGCATGCAGCTCACAGACGACCTCCTCCGCGGCTGCCTCTCCACGCTCGCCTCATGCCTCTCCGTAACGATGATGTCGCGGCTCATGCTGAACCTCCACGCCGTCGAGAGCAAAGGCATCTTTTCTACCCTGGCCACGATGCATGCGCACCGCAAGCACGCCAGCACGCTCTCGGAGACGTACGGCGGGGAGGAGAGCCCTGCGGTCGAGCTCGATACGCTCTGGACACGAGACATGGAGCGGAGTACCTATTATTATGAGTGATCCTGGGCCGCTGGGCCTATAATGCTGTATTTTTTAGCCTATACTTATGACTGTTAGACAAAATGTACCTACGTTGCTGTAATGCGTAACTTATATGCTCGAGCTTGCCTCTGGTCGGGTAATGCAAAGCTCGTGTATTCGTAAGACGCTAGACTCGACACCAGCCACTACTTCCGGAATACCTTCAGTAGGTTTTGCGCTCCATATACTTCTCCTAAGACGCGGGGGGGCGGGGGGGAATAAATTATACTCGCAGGTCCAAATGCCGGGGTTTTCATCTATTTACGCGCCGCTTTCCCAATAAGGCACCCTTGCCTCCTACCCTCATGCCACCGCGTCATCCGGGTCCCAGCGAAACGACACCGTTACTCGACGAGCGCGGCGTCGACACGGATCCCGCTGCTGTAGACGTAGCGCACAACGACGGTGCGCAATGCTCCCGATAGCTTCGTCAAATTGATACCGGTGGCAGGCACGTTTGGCGAGTCATTCGATAACGTTCCCAAGGAAAAGCGGAAACTTGGTGCGTCCAAGGCACCGCCTATCCGACCCAGCTTTTGAATACATACTCTCGCAGGTCTATTCAGCGCTGTATTCCTCGTATTCAATCGCGTTATCGGGACTGGGTAAATGATGAGTTCTGTGGTGGGTGGAAACCAGGACTGAGACGCTTCGAGGATATACGCCACGCCGAGCGTCATCCTCCGCTCCTCAGGCAGCGTCGGACTCGCTCTGGTTATGTGGCTGGTCGGTGCAATCATCGCTGCGGCTGGGACGGCGGTCTACGTCGAGCTCGGGACGGTGTGTCTTTTTCTCACTGTACATGTGGTGTTCTTCCTGCTATTCATACGCGTCAAGGGCCTCCCGAGGAACGGTGGCGAGAAGAACTACCTCGAGTTTATCTATCGACGACCGAGGTTTCTCGTCAGCTGCTCGTTTGTCGCGTATACGCTGCTTATCGTGAGCAAACCCGAGTCCCACCATCCATAACGGCTTATCGACGAAAGTCAGGGCTCTGCGGCTGCGAACAGCATTGTCTTTGGCGAATGTACGTCCCGGTCCCTTCCTCACACCCACTCTGAATCCTCACATACGCAGACGTTCTGCATGCACTCGCCATCGAACCCACCCGGCTCACCTCCCGCCTCGTCGCCGTCCTCGTGCTGACCTTCTGCCTGCTCACCCACGGCACCCTGCCTACGCTCGGCCTCCGCCTGCAGAACACCCTCGGCATATTCAAGCTCCTCATCCTCTTCGGCATCTCGCTCCTCGGCGTCCTGTCCCTCTTCGGCATCCTTCCCACCCAGCCGGGATACCCAGTCCCCAACAACTTTTCCTCCTGGCACGCGTTCTGGGATGGCACCGGAAGCGGGGGAGCGAATGGTGCGGTGACGGCGCTCTACAGCGTCATCTGGTCGTTCATCGGGTACGCGAATGCCAACTACGCCTTGAGCGAGGTGAAAGATCCAGTGCGGACGATCAAGCGCGCGGCACCACTTGCGATGGGTGCGGTCAGCGTCGTGTATATGTTTGTCAATGTCGCCTACTTCGCCGTGGTCAGCAAGGAGGACGTGTTGGGCAGTCGCAGGATCGTTGCGTGCGTTTTCCGTCTTGTTTCTTTGTGAGTGGCTGGCTGATATGAACGTAGAGCCCTCTTCTTTCGAAACTTATTTGGGCCTGCGACGGAGAGGGTGCGTACCCGAGTTTGGTTCACGCAAATACTTTGACCTCCGTGTAGGCGCTGAGCATATTCATCGCGCTCTCGACACTCGGGAACCTTCTCGCAGGCCAGTTCACACAAGGCCGAGGTACTTCTGCCTTGCCGCTTTTCCAGCTACATACACCTACTCCATTCGCAGTTATCCAAGAACTCGGACGCGAAGGCATCCTCCCCTACTCTGCGTTCTTCGCATCCAACAAACCCTTCAACGCACCACTCGCCGGGCTGCTAACGCAATACCTCGTCTCGTGTCTATTCGTCTTGGGCCCGCCGCCCGGGGACGCGTATTTGTTCATGATTAGCAGTACGTGCTTCATGTTCCTCCCTCCCTTCCTCCCCTTCTCATCTCATCTCATTTTATACCGCAGCCTCGTCGTACTCCCTGGCACTGATCAACACGCTCGTCTCCTTCGGCCTCCTGCTCCTACACACCAACATCCGGCCCTTCAAAGCATACGCATGGTCCCCGCCCTTCGTCGCTCCACGGACGGTCGCCGTATTCTTCTTCCTCTCGAATGTGTTCCTCCTGGTCGTACCGCTTGTGCCCCCGCCGGCGGGGAAGCGGGTATACGAAGGGTTACCCTATTTCGTGCGTTTTTCGTTTTCCTAGAGTATGACCCCCCGTAGATGCTAAGGATATTCTATTCTAGTTACACGCAGCCGTGTCGCTGCTCATCTCCCTCCTCGGGTTGGCGTACTGGGCGATCTGGGTGCTGTGGCTGCCGCGCAGGGGCGGGTACGCGTTGGTCAGGGAGTGGGTGATGCAGGACGATGGGGTGTCGCGCTGGGTGTTTATGAGGAAGCTTGCGGCGTGAGGCCTATGGGATACAGATTTTCGGCGTCTTGACTTGAGGGGAGTGAGCGTTGTCTCTGCGGGCCCTTAGACTAACGGAATAGATGCGACTTTCAGAAAAATGTATACGCGTTTCGCGAAATCATAATATTGACTCGTAGATCCCTCCTTGGCATCCAATCGCGATCTTAAGGCGCCGAATACTTTCGTGCAAGGTTTAAGGTGCATAGTTCGGGCTCATTCAGCCCAGATGATAACGCATTTTGTTCAGTAACTTGCCAGTACAAACAACCAACGTGTCGCAGCCAGGTGCCTAAAACTTGTGTACAAACTCCTCCACCTTTCTCACCACCCGCTGGATCCAGTTCTCTTT